AGACTACAAACCTAATAATAACTTTCTGGTTAGAATGAGAGGCTTATAAGGTTGGCCTGTTTACAGTTTAATTAGCCAGTTTCAATGTTACACCACCTCCTTAGCAAGTTGACGGCGAAAGATTCCACTTTCTTCGAGGAACATTTGCATCTGTTTGAACACGCTACACTTTGGCATTTGGTCTGTCAGGATCAAAAAAGGCCATTTTACTGTTGTGAGCACAATTATTTGGCCTGTGAATGCAGGCAAGGCTGGAGGTGACCTTGCTTTTGATACAAACCTTTCTGCTTTTCTCATGTAGAATTAATGCGAACTAAGGTCTGTATCAAAACAAGGTTGCTCTCCAGCATCACTGCCATCCAAAGGCCAGGTCACAGTGAGCAGACAACTGTATGTAAAAAGGTCTATAAAAAAGTCAAGCACAGAAACACTTGTGTGGGACAAGGAAAGTCTATTCCAATACCCTGATGTTAATTGGGTCAGTTCTTAACTCCAGTCCAGGAGAATGTACTCTCCCAGAATGGAAATATGCAAGGCCATTGCAGTTTTATCCTATAGCATTTTCATTAATTTTTCATTTTCAATGTCAGGTTTGCCCACCAATTAGCCAGTACCGATTATGTTCCTCGGTGATTAGAGTTTAACACTGTGAAAATAAAGTACCTTCACCAAAACATTACCGACAGTGCTAATCGCACTTGTAAATAGGCTCAAGCCCTCGCTTTACTGTACCACAGTCCAAAACCCTGTGACACATTCCTTTATTTTGAACTGTTGTTTTCCAACTCAATATTGTTTCAAATTTTCTGTTCTCTTACTACTAAACTTCTTCTGGATTGGTGGCTTTTCAGGTTTTTACACTGAGGCCTGAAGCTCGAAGTCAAACTGCTAAATATGAAATGCAGAGAGAGAAATTGGAGACGTAATATTTTATTACATAAACTGCAGTGTTTTACAAGGACTTCCAGCTCTGAGGAGAGCCGTAATTGAACATATGTAAAATTATAACTTCACTGTCATGATATCGATGATGTAATGTTTGATATCATTTTTTTACTGTATTTAAATTTGTCAGTAATCTTCGGAAATTTTTTTGGAAATGATTGTGTGGCATTTGCACAACTTTTGACATTTTTATAAGTATGTTCATAAAATAAACAAAATAACACATGGCTGCTTGCAGATATGAAATTTCCCTTTGATGTGTTCAACTTTGTATCTTACTTGTTCGCTGTGCTCACTTGTGAGATACTGAGTTGAACAATGGAAGAGAAATTCCATATCTAGGTGCACCCATGTATTATTTTCTATTTAATTCACCATGGGTTGCATGAATGTATTAAGTGAGAAAGTCTTGCAAACATTATCGTGAAGACAGCAAAATCTTGCATTGCAGTCCACAAAAAATGTCTTATGCACAAGTGAGATACAGACATTGTACCTGTTAATAAAGATTGATACAAAGATGGAAAAAGTCCTCTGAGAAGGTGTTCATAATTATTTTGCCTTAAATGTAACTGACATATAGATAACCCATATTTGCTCTGTCAAAGAGCTTAAGAAATTTTTTAGCATAATTTTTTTTTGCTTTAAAATAAGTCTTGTTTCTCAAAACATTAACAGTAACTTAAAAAGACACTAGTTCATATACAAATGCTAAATTATCTTATGTACATGATGAAAAATAATAGGAACACAGTTGTTAAGGTGCAATGAAATAAATGCTCTTAGCTGAGCTAAACTGTAAGTATTCAATCTCATATTATGAAAGTTGAACATGACTGCCTTAGAAACAAAAACAAAACAAGACTGTAAATTACTGTTAATAATCTATCAAGGAGTTTGCTTTCTTTCAGACTTAATCATGTGCAGAGGAACAAAGAACCTTGACAAGAACAGTGGCAAGGTACAGAGCTCACAAAAAAGAGAGCTTACATTTGAATTGTCACACACTAGGGTTTCATCCAGACTTAAAAGATTGAACCACCTTGCACAGCATAAACACAAAACCACCTGAAAGTACTGCTCAACAGCTTTAATTTGGATGGTCACACACTAAGGTTTCAACCACAAATATGGCAATGAAATAATCAGCTCAAATTAAAAAGGAAAATAGACCTGACAGTTCAGTAAGACCTTTTCCCTAAAAATACAGCTAGGCAACCAGTACGCCAAGTTGTACTGGTACATGTACCCCCAAAATTAAGCAGAATTGTAATGTTACTCTCCAACACATGAACATGAACTTTTAAATGACCAAAACTAAATACTATCAATATACTTCAAATCAACAATATCTATTTTGTGTCCCCTGAAATAAATAATATTCTATTTGTTAAGTGCTCTTTTAAATATATACCTCTATATTAGTTCTAACCCTGTACTTTTGCAAGTTTAAAAAAGTTGCATATATCAATTATAAAAGTTCTAATAAGCTATTACTAAGGTTTCTCCCCTCTTTTAAGACCTTTTGAGAAGTCGTTTACATCAAATAATTTACAAATCAGCTAGCTACAAGGGAATCTGTTACTAATCTTTGTTTACAATATTTGCCTCATGAGCATATTAAGTAATTCAGTTTCTGATCAAGTTTTAAGAGGAATATCACTTCTGAACATTGAAAGAGCATACCATTATAAAACTGTCCCAAGGAATTTGAACCCGATGTATTACCAGTATATATTTCATGTGATACGGGTTTATAAATTCAAAATTTAACAAAGAATGTAAGAGCTCATTAGTGCTTTTGCCACCTAGATATTTCACAGTTTCTGAAAGCGCCAATATCACCTTCATTAATATTACACCCAAAGAGCTAAAACATTCACAACGCACCAAGTTTCACTGCTGTTTGGAGTCAATTTGCATCTAGCACGATGCCTTGTCTATGCAAAGTCATATACTAATGAGGCAAAATGTAAACAATGACATCAACAATAATGGACCTCTTCACCAATGTCAGGCTTTTCTGAATTTTTCATCCAAACAAAAATAAATTGCACTACTCCATTTATCAAAGAAATGTATACCAGGGGGCAACACTTGCCCTCTGGCCTACACTTCTTTGTAAGTTTGGGGTCCCATACATGCATTTTTTTACAAGCTTGCAACAGATTCTTCTGAAACTTCGTAGATTTACTAAATTCAGCATGATAAATTGAACTACGGAGGAGATTTTTTTATTTACTTGAACAATATGAAAACATTGTTGCGTGACATCCATGAAAAGGTCCATTATCCTGTAAAAGACAAATCTAATGCTCATCAAGACAAGAGACATGGTCTTGCTGCATTCCCTTCTCATTCCTTTCCCTAATTTGCATAATTTTAAATTTTCCAATTGTGCGGAGGATTTCAGGAACAAAACCAGCTGGCTGCTTGCAGTCTGAATACAAGATTTTATATCAGGGGTTTCATTACTGTTTTCAGCAGGGTGGCAATTAGTTTTCAACGGCAGGCAAAACTATTCAAAAAGAACTTCTTTACAAGAAAAACTTTCTGCTGGATGGTCAAATCAGGTGGGCAAAATTGTCCTCACAGTTGGTCAATTTGCCAGGTACCTGGCCCTTAAGGAAACCCCTGATATATACAAAGCAGTTGAGATGCTACCTCTAATGCTTTAAACAGTTGACAGGTTACCTCAAAATATCTGTTTTCCTACTGAACTGAATATTACAATTGTTGCTAATTACTATCTTGGGAAGGACAGCAAGGGCTTTTATGTTAATACTATTTCAAAAACCAATAAATATATTATATACTGGTTTACAAAATTATTTTATGGCTGTTATACTCTAACTTATACTCTGAACAAGTTTTTTTTTCCTTTTTCACTTCTGGAAAAGAAGTTGTCCATATTTATAACCATATTTATGCACTTTTTACGAAGCTGAAGTAACCAAAGACCAAAAAGGGTTTCAATCACCTCAAGTCTTTGAAAATATCAAAACATCTAGTCATAAATGAAGACATACTCTACTACCAATTTGGTATATATCACAAATGTAAGTCCAAGTGCGACATTTTTTCACTGTCAACTATCATTTGAACATAGAGCTGCGGATTTGGGTTAACATCAAGCCAGATTCAAACCTTTCTTTGCAGCTCATTGCTTTAAGGACTCCTCAGACCCTCCCCCCAGCATCACTTTTTCCCTTCCCTTTGGGACCCACCTAGAATGCTTTTTGTTCTCCGATCAATAATGCACTTTGATCTTCAGTTCAGAATACAACTAAAAAAATTAATCTATCCACCAAGCTGGGATACTAGTCTCTGTGGAATGAAAAACTGAATCTCTTTCGTGGTGCTGGTGTTTGAGTACCTTTCTCTTCAGTCCTCTTCACTGGAACTTTGTAATGAAACTCTCTCAAGAAAATCTTCATAGAATTCGGTACAGGAAGGTCACTGACTCCTTGAAAAGTTGTCTGACTACAGATTGTTGCGCGACAGAGATCCTGTAGGGACACTGGATTGGTTCGGTGTAGCGGCTTCAACAGCAGAGGTTCATAATACATGCATTGCTCTGCACGAGAGTAATGCTGTAATAACAGACAAACACTTTTTGAACAGAATGAATAGTCACTTGGTTTGTCGAAGCTATATCTGTGCTTCCACTGTTCAATCCTTGCATGGTATGTTCGGGAGTATCTACGAAAACTCACTGAGAACAGATAGTGGTATTGCGCACTGTCACGTAACAGGAATGTTCCATCAGGAAAGCCTTCCAGTATCTGAGGTAAAAATAAATAATTGTTCAATTTATCAAACAGTCCATCTGGTTTTATTCTTGCGAAAGCTTGCATATTAACACTCATTGCAGTGAAAGTTTACAGATGAAAGCACTAAGCCCACTTGTAATGAGAAAAAGGTGGATTAGAAGAAAAATATTATGAAAAGCAATATATGTGCTAATAAAATATTGATGACATAAAGCAGCAATAAAAACTTGTTTTCTTTCCTTGTTTTTACTTTAAACGTGCTATTTCTGCTAAACCTGTGGCAAAACCCTGAAGCCCTGCAAAAATATACAAAACAAAAGATCTCTTGGAAGTCAAAACAAAGTGCATGCCTAAAATATATGACCTAGTCAATAGTTTTTTTATTGTTTGGTCTTGTCACATAAGCTTGATGCTTGAATCTGACAATATTTCTTGAAACAGCTGTGTTCAAATATCTATTAGAGGTGCAAAGTCCTAGTGAAATTTATCACTGCCTGGCTCAAAAATAGGATAATGCAAGACATTTGTTGAAACTTTTTTCAGAATTGCAACTTTTTTTGGTTTAGAAAAACAAAAAGAGAAGTACATGCATACTCACAATAATCAAACACCTATGCTGATATTTTTCAACTAGGTGACAACCCAGATGTAAGATGAACCAATCGGAATTATGAATTTTACTGATAAGACTATAAGGCAATTTAAACTGTCTTTTTAAACTTTCTTGTGGTCAAAACATGAAATTAAGTCCAAACATTAGGCGTGGAAAAACTAAGTAATTTGTAAACTGACAGAGTTCTTAACGTAGGCGTATATAGTTTCCTTAACACCTAGGCCTGAGAAAGCCACTTGCATTATTTTATCATTCTCTGAGATGTATGCAGAAAAGCTTTGAAGCAAAATTACATATTGAAAAACAGTTCACAAAATGTACAAGAACTCATTTTAGATCAGAATTAGTGATTAAATACTTATGCAAAATTTTCATGGTATAATGTTTGCATTTGCAGTTAGACCAAAATTCCCCGACTGTTGCAGGCAGTGTCCACAAATTAAACTGTCCATATATGTCATTCTTGAAGTGCTTCCAAATTTTATTTGCTGCCTACCAGCTTGACATACATATAATGATATATAACAAAAGTCTGTAAGTAGTTTTCTTTTTCTACAAATTCTTGCTGCGTCATGAAACCGAACCTCCTATAATTAATTGTCGTGACATCTGAGAAATTTGATCAATGCATTAGTAACAATCTATTGACAAAATTACTCATAAAAATATGCGTTTTAGAAAGTGTCAGGTTTTGGAGACAAAGCAGGTGCCAATTGACATCTCACGACTTGGTCTTTTTTCCGGGGCATTTTAACAATAGGATAACTGCTTCTAAAACAGCTAAACATCTCATCAATTTTTCACCTAATTTAAATGTTTTGCCCTTTTACAATCAATTTATTTTCGAGCATAACCTTTCTTATTCGTAGCTACTGTGTTTTTACTGCATGGCCCACGTATATTAAAAAATACGTTCTCTAAACTATCCAGTTTGTATGATATGAATCGCAAAAACTAATGAAAATGAAATACCACTGTTAACCTTTCTTTCTAACCAAACAAAAGCGTAACACCTTCCCGCACTTTTGACAATGACAATAATGAAATTTTACCAACATCTTGTATCATTCGGGTTAATGAAGTTAAAAGTTACAAAGCTCTCACCTTTTCCGCTTCAAACCTATTAATTTTCCCCCAATACCACGGGCAATTTGTGATGGAAACGATATCGCTGATGAGGAAATACTCCAGTTTATGTTGCGCTGCTTTCAAACGAGCCTTTTCTCTTCTTTTTCTCTCAAATTCATCGAAGCTCATCGCGTTCGTTCTTCCATCGTCAGTTGGAGAGTCATCTGACGGTGGTGTTGGTGACAGCGGTCTTGGGGGCACTGTGTTGGCTCGATCGCGACGTTCATCAGCTTGGGTGGTTGAATCGTCCTGTCGAAACCCCCAAGAGAACGAAAATCTCTTTCTTCCCGCATCCTGCACTCCTCGTTCATCGTTTCCGGACCTGAAGTTAAGCAAACTCAGGGGCCTTCTTCGCCGAGCTTGCTGTGGTCTCGTCCTGCGGTTGATAGCTTCCAACTCGGCCGCTCGCCTGACTCGTTTCGCTTCTTGTAGGCATCGAGCATGGTAGCTAAGGCCATTCTTGTCCCGGTCACTTCTACGATTCTTATCAGAGGGACGTTTTCCAGACTCCTTGGCACTTTTCCGACGACTAACTTGCCTGGCTAACCAACGAAAGCTGCGAGAATGAATCTCGGGATCCAAATCGCTCAAGTTCGGACAGCTTTTCACGTTAGACGAATTACAGCCAGTTTGCTCCTCTTGAAAATCTGAAGCACAGCTACAGGCAACAGACGATGTGCTTTTTACGTCCTCAGGAACGAAGTCTTCAGAATCGCTAAGAACAACTCTGAGCAGATCTCGGTCAATCTCTTCATTTTCCCTTCCTTCTCTGTCGTTTTGTCGGCGGCGGTTTCGATGGCGCGACCAAGGCCGACTACCACCTTCAGCCATTATTCCCTTATGACACTAAACGTTCCGCATGCATCAAAACATGTTAGTTTACGAGTTTGAAACTGAACTTGTGAGAGGATTTCCGAACGTAGACAAACATCTGTTGCTGCCGAACTTGTCTCGATGGTTATTTTGTTGCCATCGGTCTCGTTCCCAGGCTTCGCACTTTTTTCCGAATGACGAAACATTTACCGAGTCGCCCGGAGTCTTTGCGAGTCCACGCCGAAGACTGCGCCGAAGATAAAATAGAGAAGATTACGTTTCGCTTTCCAGGACGTGACTCGGCTTTTTCCCTCAGATGCAAGCAGATGAAACACTTAGACAACAATTATAACCCACGCATAATAGCGCTTCAGGTTATTTCGCGAATTTACGCACGTATAAAATAAACCACGCATTTATTTTCACGCAAAAGTAGACAGCTTGACGTGCTATCACTTCCAGACATACGCACTGTAAGATACAGAAAATGCATTAGCTTGCTCGCGTCTGCGGGTAAAGTAGACACTTAAAAGACGAAAATAATGGAAATTTGAAAAAGGCTTTTAACAACGCGAGTGTTGTACTCAAGAAGCTGGAGCTTCACCATCCTAGGGAAGGCGGTTGGGGGAAAGGGGTGGAAGAGGCCTTAGGGGTACTCGGATACCATAGTAACGGGGAGATCACATTGTGGGACCCCAAAAAGGTTCCATCAGACCCAAAAAATCCAAAAACCCAGAACGTAACCCCAAGAGTCCAAAAGTCCGAAGCATCAAGAGGAGAGTTCCTTCCGCTAAAACAGGAATTCTCATTGTCATTTGCATGTAATTTGCATCTGTCCGAGACGTCTATAAATGCCGAACTGATGAAATTACAATTGCTTGCTATATAAAGTGAGAGAAAACCTAAAAAAACCCTGAACAAAATCTTTCACCCAAAAAATCGCTACAAAAATCTCTAACCGCAAGATCAGTCCTCAGATCCCAAATTTCCAACCTTAGAAAGGTGGTCGCCTTCATGTCATTATCATATATACCCGAGCATCCCCCATGGTTTGCCATCAGCTGGTCATTGCGTTCTAAAATATCTCTTGCACCTTGCATGGTAGGTAGGCCGATTGCATAATCAAATCCCTTCATTTCTATTCCTATACTTTCTCTTGAATGCAAGGAAGTGAAAAAAAAACAGGCGGTTTTGTTGGACTCCGCAGTCAACCTCGTTCCCATGAAAGGGTCATGGTATCGAGGTTAGCCTATAGGAGGAATTACATGGAAACAGCTTGGAAACAGATCAAACTCAACACAAGTCATTCGTCTGTGGGAAAAAAATATTTATTACTGGATGATTATTATGGTCGGCATTCATTTCATTCATGAAGAGTTCTTTAAATAGCAGTATCAGGATGAATCAACATTAAAAATCAAGCTTGACAATCTGTGAAGACCGCGCGGCATGCTTTCAGCCCTGTTTTAGCCTAGGAGCACGCGCGCCATTATCGCTAACGGTCGCTCCTCATAGCGGCGTCGAGCCAGTAAAAAACTGCTATTTGTTCGAATCTACATTGTTTTCACTCAGGAATGTTTTTCCTCTTAATTTTTTTTTCAAATCCCAGTTTATGGTCGTCGAGTTTGTTAAGGCAGTTATATTCCGTGCTCTCATGCCATCAGAAGAATTTCTTGCAAATGTTGATGATGCTCGCTCGGTTTACTTCATAGTGGGGAAAGCTGTCGGGGCCTTAAGAGCTTCGGCGTCCTCGTCTCTCCAAAGGCTTGTGATGGTTTTGACTTCTAAGTAAAAGTTGATACCCTGAAGAAAGGAAAGACAGAAAAAGTCAATACTCTAGCCAACTTGAGGTCGATAAAGGTAACACGAGTTAGTGACGTTACGTTCGAACAAATCTTAGCCTCCGGGGGTGGGGGAAAGGGTAACCCGATTTATCCTCCCAACTCAACCCCTCCCCCCCCCCCCCCCCCCCCCCCCTATTGTACGACCCTCCAACGAAATGCGAATGTCTTCTCGCTTATAGGTTGATATATACACGTAACAAAACGATAAGCGAGTAAATTTAAATTTATTCTCATATAACAAAAGAATATGCAAGCGTTTGGTGGCTAATAGCTTGCTACGTTATGTTACGTGACGTGCCTTGACGTGACGGGACGAAACGTTACGTTATGTTAGAAAGTATACATAACAAAATGAAATGCGAATGTCTACTCGTTTATAGGTTTCTATATACGTAACAAAACGATGAACGTTTTCGTCATTGCTTATCTTTTCTGAAGGGATCAGTTATTTTCTCAAGGAGTTCTACTTTTGCTTAATTTATATTGTTTAATAAAGCAACAGAGTTTATGTTCGCGGGCATAAATATATTTTGGGCCCGACCCGGATTCATTTTTCTTTTTAACTCTGAGAAGGGCCCAAAACATATTTATGCCCAAGAACACAAACTCTGTTACAATTATCATCACTTTAAAGGGCATTGATAAAATAAAAACTGAAAAAAATGACAACAAAACCGTGTGAACAATCACGCGAGCGTTTACAAGTTGAATGGCTTTTATTTTCCCTCAATGAAAATACACAATACATCAAGCGAACCTGGTTAGAAATTACAAAATCTTGTCATTTGAATTTTCAAAAATTGTAGAAGGCATGAAAGGAAAGTTCCATAAAGCTTATCTCTAAGTGTTGAAATTAATTGCACAATTGCTAAACTGACACTTTTCATTGGTTTATTTCAGAGGGCTAAAATACAGTTTAGCCCGCCAAATTCTCCATTTTAGCCCGCAAAATGCGCGACAATGCCCGACACAGTGATAATAATGAAAGTTTTTTAGTGTATTATTTGCTTCTGTAAACAACGTCTAATTTCTAGCATTTCATTCTCCTTAAAACTTTCAATAAGTAATTTTTGATAGTTTTGAGTTTTTAGGAAACTGAAGTGGTTGAGAAAATAGAGTGTATTTATTTATTTTTTCTATATATTTTACATTGTGAAATAATATGGCCGCAGGGAATCGTTAACGAAGACTTGAGCGTGCTTGTTCTTTGCCTTTTAACTTATTCAAACCTTCTTTATGTGCCTTTATCTTTAATCATTAATCTCCAGAGCAATTCTTTCACAGTATGTGTACTAGACATTATGGCTGCAATTAATGAAAAAACCTTCCTTTTTTTCACTTCAATTTATTAGTGTGTGTCTACTGGAGTTTAAAACGGACAAGTCAAGGTCGAGAAGTCTGTTGCAGCTTGAAGCGTATGGGAGAGTGTCAAGGGATTTCACAGACCACATTGATAGAGATAAAGAAAAACTGAACTTAGTCCATTGATGAGAATCGCACTTGGCAATCACGTTTCTGACAAATCTCGCCAGCTGGGACATTTATCGAGACATCGCGTAAACGTAATCAGGAACTGCGACACGACTATTGAAACCAAACCCACGTCTCAATTTTTTCCCACGACCACTTAAGTAAAACGTTAATCAGAAAGACAATATTTATTCACCAGTTTTTAGATCGTAGTCAAGAATTTATTGGGTATACTGCAGCTTATGGCAAGTTTTTAAGTCCTTCTAAAATTGCCCTA